AGAGGTACGCAAATCCTCGACTGACCAAATATTTGCAATCATTAGCGGGCATTAGGGCTAAAATCTAACGAAAACAAACCACTCAGGTGTAGATGCAGATGCAGCATCCGGGCAGGTTGCTCTAATTTCTTCGGCCTGGCACGCCTGACAGGCGACATAAAGCAGGATGATGGGCTAAGCTCGACCGGATTACGTGCCACAGCACCAGGACAATGGAACGCACAATGCAAATGCCTCCATGCGGAAGGTCCTTATAACATATACACAAGTATATGGGCATGAGCGGCAGGAGCTCTCCCTGGCGACGAATGAGTGGCATTTGAGTGGCTGTCACATTGCATTTCGTGTAATCCAAGTAACTCGCATGCTAATTTATTGCATATATTTTGTGGTTTTCCTTAAAGCAAACATGACGTCAGCTCACGTCTGATAAGCCGTATAATGTCGCAAGTAGGGGATGCGATTTGCACAAAACAAGTAGCAAATGAGGGTGCAAAGTAAAATTGAAAAAGAAGTGATTTATTAAATTATTTTCAAAAACATTCGTTCAATTTAATTTATGAAATATGAATAGGATATTAGGAAATTTAATACTAAATAATATGTATACAACTGTATAAAAATAGTTTTTATAGCTGACAATATGAATATAGTTAGAGAAAAAGCAAGAAGTTTCTGAATATTAGCAAGATTTAATAATAATTTACAAATGTTCTTATCGAGATATGTACATACATATGTATATGTATATATACATGTTTGAAATGTTTCTTCCATTACCCGAAATAAGCCTTTTAAAAAGTTCGTTTACTAATAGTAGTTAACGACATTTATGCATTGATGGGAAGAAGATCAATTTAACCTAGATTATAAAATTATATTTCCTTTAATATTAATTGTTTCTAAAAAATTCGAATATGCCTTATATACTTTAAAATCGAAATATAGTTGACTAAGTATTTAAGTGTTTATTCTAATAAATTTGGATTGATCTCATAAATTGCATAAATACTTTCTCGGAATACCAGAATGAACATTTTGAACATTTTCTTATTATGCATATCATTTATAAGTATTTATATGCTTTATAAACTAGAAAACAAAACGAAATGACAAGATTAATTTCAGAAAATAAATTCAGATAGCGAAAACATGGGTAATGTTTCTGTATATGTAATTAATAGATGAATAATATTTAAAATAAATTAAAAAAAAAAAAACACCCATTAAATATTGAAAACCATTCATGTTACCTCATTTTCAATGGGTTCAGGTTATAAATACAAACAGAAGGTTTCTATTCGCAGCAAAACAATAATCTGATCAAAATATCTTTTCTTTTCTACATCTTTAAACAGATTATTTGCAGATTGAGCAATTTTCTAATTGTACACCTAGACTTGCAGAATCAACGTAGTTTGAAACAGCTGAGAGAGCGCTTTACACGATCTCAAGTCCGTCAAATGACATTGGACGTAAACTCGATCCTCAGACATTTGTAGTCGCAGCCCGTGCCCATATGACGACGGTCTTTGCCGAGCTTTGGCCCCACATATTATTTATTTATTTAAGAGTTTTGTTATTGCTACTGCTGAAATCAGTTTCAATGCGGAAAACAAACACAGTTAGAGCCGTGTAAACAAACAAACAAGTTCATTTGAGGGACCAACTCACTCTCCCTCGCTTTCGCTCTGTCGCTTCCTCTGTTGCTATCTCTTTCGCTGAAGAAGTACAGGTAGTGCAAAGTACAAAGATTCCATCTCGTGCCTCTGGCTACACTTCCTGTGCCACGCCCGGCAAATACATCGATGAGCGGCAGAGCATCGAGACCATTTGCCATTTAAGCCGACCCCTGACCCGATGCCAGGCACAAAAAGCGGCTTAAGAGCGCAAAGATTGCAGATTATGCTGTAAAACTGTCGCAGGACATTAAGCCGAGCCTGCCATAATTACGCTCTCCTGCTCCTTCTCCTTCTCTCTCCCCCAGCCAACACAAACAAAATAAAAAATAAAACTAACATTTATATGCTGTGCGAAAGGGGCGTGGCTGTAATGGAGAGTGCTGGCAGCGAAGGGCAGAGAGAAACGCATAAGGAATTAACAAGCGAATGCAATTTAATTGTTACCATTAGACTAGTAGATATCCTGTACAGATGTTAGATACCCTGTAAATATATATTAGAAATATGTATGCTTAATATCTGATATAGATAATATAGTTAAAGTTGGCCGAAACATACAAGTTCTGAGAAATTTTGCAATTCGATTGTAGTTCGATATTTATCGGAAAGGCTGCGTTACTAATGAATATAATGGAATATCTATCAGATAACATTAGCCAGAGATTGCTGATTGCCAAATATATCGACATATGGATACCGGAGATCGTCTTCAAATAACTTCCGATTATAGTGAAATCATATAAAATATCACAATACAAAATCTAAAATCGATATGTATACCTTTCCAGTTCTTCTACAGCATCTTCTGCTCACTACACACACTTGCCCAACCGCAACATACCCATTTTTAAATAAATTTGAGTGCTTGCAGGGTATAATTAAAAAACCCGCAGTGTTCAAGTGCTGCGGGGGCAACAACAGCTATAGCTATAGATATAGCTATATATGCCTGTCCCCCACTCTCCTCGTACCACTACTCCCCTGACCACGACTCCTGCTCCTGCTGCTGCTACTGCTGCTGCTACTGCTGCTGCTGTTTGTATTGTTTGTTGTTATAATGGCGAGCCCGTAGCGCACAACAACGAAAAGCGAAAAACGAAAAGCGCAAGGCATCTGCAGGGCGTCCTTTTGTACATTTCGCCTCGTTGCTCTGCTGCTGCTGCCGCTGCTCCTTTTGCGACTCAAATTTCAATGAAATTATCCTGACGGCATTTGTCTGTCTGTGTGTGTGCATGTATGAGTGTGTGTCTGAGCACAACAATGCTGAATAAAAATTTCGCTGAAATTATTTGCTAATGGCTTCAACAGGAGCAGGAGCAGGAGCAGCAGCAGCAGCAGCCTGGACGAGTGCTCAGCCCGCAGAGCTCGTCGTTCGCGTTGCTCCGGCATTTGCATTTATGAGATTGACAAATAGACAAACAAAATGGCGTAGCTGGCAGACGCAGAGGCAGAGGTAGCATTGCCAGCTTCGCCCCAAAAAATCCCATCGATGTACGCCATTTTGTTGCTGCTCCAAATATACACAGTAAATAATTTTAGGGGGACTATGGAGAAACTAAACTGAAATAAATTTATTATTGCATTGATATATGGGGAAAGATATGGAATACCCAAATTGTGAATAATGTTATTTGAACTGAACTCATTCGAATATCTGAATTATTATTATTACATAGTCATGTATATAATAAATTATAATTGAATAGCAGCGGCGCAGGTAAAATAAATACCTAACGATTGATATTTTAGTTTTTCTTATGAACAATTGCAAAACAAAGGATATTCAATTTTATGCATGTTTAAATGAGAATTTTCTCAGTGTATTTTTGCTATTTGCTTGTTTCGCCTGGCAACACCAACAGTAACAGCAACAACAATAGCAATAACAACAGCAACAACAGCAACAGCGACAACAGCGCAAATTGCTTTGCTCCAACAACTCCGCTCAAGTTACGCCAGCTACAGGCGGTGGCTGGGGGTGTGGCACAAGCTAACAGTAATGAGACTGGCTGTCCGGGCAACCAACTGACAGGGATAGCAAACCAAAAGACAAAAAAAAAGAGAAAGAGAAAGATAGAGAGAGAGCGTACACATAATAACTGTCAATCAAAAAATGAATCAACAACGCAGCAAAGATTTCTACACAGATCTATACATCTATCTACATATCTGCAGCTCCGGTTTGACCTAGTGCCTTCTGGTATTTGTCTTCACATTCACATCCACACTCACATATTCACGCTCATATTCGAATTCGTTTTGTTTGGCCCTTTGTGGTTTTATTTCTGGTCAAATGATTCACTCGATCGACAGGATCCTTTTATTTTGTTGTGAGCCCTTTTTAAGCTGAAAATTCCCTTTTGACTACTGTCTCTTGGCCCTTTGTCTGGCCCAAGTATTTAAAGGCTCAATTCTTTTGGGTTCAGTTCAGTAGCCAAAGATTTGCAGTTCTGCTCTGCCTTTTTCCCTTTTTGTTTTTGATTTCTTACAGCTCACTGAAGGCTATCTCTCTCGCATCTAGAACTCGATCTAGGGTTTGGTTTAAAGGCTTGTAATTAAGAGCAGTTCATGTGGAAAAAAGATATTAAAATTTCAGAATTACTGGAGGCTTAAAGCAAAAGTTGGAAAGTTGAAAAGTTAGTCTTAACAGCTGAAGAGCTGTGCATTATGCAATATGTGTGGTCTAAGAAAATTAAATACTCGACTTGAAATTGCCAAATATTGAGAATATTGATTAGCATTTTGATATTAGAGTTAAATATAAATATTGTAAGCATTACAAACCCTTTTAGGCCAATTCTAGCCAAGCTTCTAAGCTATTCGAAATTCGAAATAATAAAAATAAAAAATTCAGAGAGATATATATCAATGTATATACAATATTATAAATAAGATCTTCTGCAATATTTGGAATGTAATAATTATATAATACATCAACAATTATATTCAGTATTTAATCTTTCTCAATAGTCCGATCCATTCCATAGTTTGGATGATGAACAAAACTATATATATTTGATGTTTTTGAGAACAATTCAATAAATTCAATAAACAAAATGAGAAAAAAAAATTATAAAGAAAAAAAAACTTATTTCTTGACAAGCAAACAAATCAATTCTGTCTCTTAAACTAAAAGGATCTAAAGAGTGTACGTAGAACCCTATTAAATGGTATTCTGTAATGATAAGTGACATAAGCAGATGAGGAACTCAGATAAACATAATCCGTTGCCCATTCGACTGAGAAGGAGGAAGGGAAAGGAGAAGCAACTCCAAATTAATAATAAAAAAAAAACAGCGAATCGAATCCGTTCCTCACCTTGTAGTAATCCAGCGTTGAAAAGTTTTGATAACACGGCACATTATACAACATATTCCAAGTGTTGCTGGTTTTGTTGTTATCGTTGTTGTTGTTGTTGCTTATCAAGCCCGCTGCGTTTGCGCAAACATGACGATCGTTTAATCGGGCAATTAATTAAAACTTAATGAGTGTTAACAAATGCATATAAAACGGAACAAGTGTTGATTAACGTAACAAATTTGTGTGCATAATTATTTTGTTAATTTCTTTCAATAATTTTTATTGCACGCGTGTCGTTTAATCATACATTTTTCGCCAGTGCTAATTGAGCAGTTCCGTTAGGCGAATTAATTTGTGCCAAATTAATTTGAACGCTGCGAATTTATTATTATTTTTTATATTATGCTTCTCTTTCTTTTTCTACTTTACTTCTCCCTCTTTATATAGCCGTCGGCACAAAGCTTTTACCGTTTTATTGTTTCAGCTGTCATCCGCTCGCCCGACGAATTGTCACATAAAGCTGAGTGTCAACTGAATTTGCCCAATCGCCCATTGGAAAGCGTCGGCTGCGGCGCAGCCAACAAACGACGACAACGACGACTCCGACGAAAACGAGGCGAACAGCGAGAGAGAGGCAGACGAGAACGACAATAACAACTACAACTACAGCAACAGCAACAACAATGTAAGAAGCTTCAATGCACTCAAAACTTGTTGTTGTCCCGCTCGCTTGCCCTTTGATGCGCACGTTCTCGCTCTTGCACGTGAGCATTTGAGTGAATTGAATTGAGCGCATTTTGTTGTTGTCTGCGTTGCTATTGTTGTTGGTTTAGGGCGGCGCCAGGACAGCTGCTTGCGCTCGCTTGCTGCTAGCATCGCCTTAACGGCATTTGCAATTGTGCAGCAAGTGGGCAGCACTACTCAACGCGGCTTCCAGGAAGCGCCTCTCGCTTCCACGAACGGTGCTTGCAGAAGGGACTGCTGCTGCTGTTCGTTCGTTCGTTTTTCTTCTTCTTCTTGGTTTCATACATTTTTGGGGCATTCGCTTAACCCAATTTGAAAACACTTGATTGGGCGCCAGGCAAACTGTCCACTCACATTAGGCAAACGATGCGGCATATTGCAGATAGGAGTTTCAATATGTAGACAGTTACCAAGCCGCTGGTCTTTAGCCCTGGGCAAACGGATGAAACGGAACCAGGGCAACAGACTGTGCAAAGTTCTGTTTCTTGTTCTTTGTGCGCTTATTGCTCTTTTTGCTGGCGTCTGGCGTCCCAAATGGCTAAAAGTTATCCCTGCACGCTTCAACGCATCGCGACAGTTGTTAACGTGTTTAATTAGCCCTGCAAATTCAATGAATTGCGACAGTAACAGTTAGGCTTAACAACAGCGCCAACATCGGGCCCAGACGATAATCAAATATTTGAGCAGCCATTTTGAAAAAATAATACTAACAAAACCAACAACTGCAACAACACCATCAACAAGACACCACTCCTGCAACCCCCGCAGCAGCGATGCGGGCGAGGCGAGGCGCATGCGTGGGGTCACCCCCGAAAGGCAATCGTATAAAAAGGAGATGACGAGCGAGCAGCAAATATAAAAAAAAAGAATTGAGTTGCACTCAAAGTGTGTGTGTGTGTGGGCGTGCCCAACTCCTTGCAGGCGCTAATCGAATTGAATTTAAAGTTCAAATAAAAAGCAATTTAAAGTTGATGTAATTAGTGCGATTGCTCTAGAAAGCAATTTCGAACTAGTTCATGAACCTAACTGAAATTGAGAAGAGTTCAATTTTGGCTATCGAGCTAATATTTAGATATTGCAATTACCTTTTTAGTATTAACGTAATGCAATGTGTTGATTTTTGAAAATATAGCATAGAACAAAAATTGCAAAGTGAGTTTTAAGTTCATTTTAAATGAATAACGGCAGCTAGTTCTGTTTATTGCAAAACTGCTGTATTGAATTGCTTTAATTTAACGACTATGTAAGCTTTGATCAAGAACTAACTGTTTACCGGCAACTATGCTGATGCTTTTATAGGAATTTTGGCTTTATTTTTTTATTTATATTAAATTTTGCTTTTGAAATAGTTTCAATTAGTTTTTAAAATTAAACTACAAGAATAATTTAATTAGATAGTAAATATAATACAATAATATTCTATTTGTATAGTATTAATAAAATATAGTTTCAAATTTATAATTTCTTAAACTAAAAAAGAGAAATGCGCTAAGAAAGAATTAAAATATATATTAAAGTCTATTTTGATATTTTCGCTATGAACACAACACAATTTTAATTTAGTTTTTTTGCTTTACATTTTTATTAAAGGGTTCATAATCTATTTATTTATTTTTTTAGGACACTTTATTTCTGAATAATTGACGGTAGACAAAACTGTAGTGTTGCATATTGTTTTTCATTTTAGAGTACATTATTCTTTTCTACTTTACTACACTCAACATTAGTACATAAATTTGATATTTTCAAACACGTGAAGTATGTATGTAAATGTGCAAAAAGTATAATTTATAGAAATCTTGAGAACATATTTAAATACCTATATATTTAATAATTTATATAAAAAGTTGATTTTGAAAGTAATCCTTAAGTAGCTCTGTTTAAGCTACATTCAAATTCAATTTTTGACTCGATTTCCACTTGAGGGATATTTGTGCTGCCCCCAAGTGGATTGAGTTGATTCATTGCAGCTCGTAAGTCGCACACTTTTCGTACTGACTGTGCTGCGCTGGCAGCGAGTGTTGTTGTTCATTCATAAAATCGAGAAACGACAATCGACAACTGCTCTCGCGGTAATAGGATTATGAGACACACGTGCTCAATGTCGAGCTGAGCTGGGCCCCTGTCAGCCCCCTCTCCAATGCATCAGCAACTGCTGCAACTGGCCAGAGCCAGAGAGAAGGAGAGCGAAATGGAGGCAGAGAGAGACAGAGAGAGGTGGAGAACGAGAATCGAGCACTGACGTCTCAAATGCTCGCTGCCTTTTATAGCCTTGGCTTTTATTATTAGTGACGGATTTCCGAGTCATTAGACAAAGTTATGCCTCGGACCACCGCGTCTGTTTAAGCTACTTAAACGCGCCGCCCGCCCACGCCCCAAATCGGGCGGGCAAAGGGGCGCAGAGAGGCTGGTTTGGGTGGCTGTGGCCTGGGGCCTTCCTACGTGACTTGCTCATGTCGCAATTGACAGACGTCAGCTTAAGGCCCTCCACAAAAATGCAGCTCAGCATTTAATAAAACAAATAAACTGATAAATGCGAGAGAGATTGCCCACAAATGCGGCACATTAATTTCTACTTCTTGCTGTTGTTGTTGTTGTTCTCGAGGTTTCTGTTTGGGTCTGAGGCACCTTCCTTATAGGGCGCAAAAGGGGGACCCACAGCATAGCCGGCCGAGCGTTTCACCCACGCCACTTAAACACAAATCAATAACTTTATTAACCAAAATACCAAAGAAGGAAAACAAATATGAAAGCAGAGTGGAGTGTGATAGACTGGTTAATACTCGCTCAGTGTATAAGCAGGAAATGAGCGAGAATTAAAAGAGAAATGAATCACAATTTTGAAAATATATATATCTAGACTATACAGAACAACAACTGAATTGAGGAACTATTGGATAGATTATGGAAATCTACATTGAAAATATATGATTTGATAGATTTATTTTTAGGAGGTTTTTAGTATTTCATATATTTATTGACAAGTTACAATTATGAGAGAACGTAATAAGATTATCTAATACACGCTAAAATTTTATAAGAGCTTAGGTGAGCTAAAATGATATCCAGATTTCTAATAAACAATTTTACTTACTTTATAGATAAAAATTAAATAAACTAAAACGTATATTCATTAAACAAACTGAAGAGGGTTTATCCTGCCTCTCAAACTAAACTCAACTCATAACAGACAGCGCATATACCCTTCCTAACAGCGAACAGGCATTAATACACCCAGCCAAATCCAGTGCCGTGTTTTACGAGCTGAAAAGCGTCTTGTTTAACTGCCGCGGACAATGGGCACCCGCTGTGCGCGTTAAAAATCGCTGGAATAAGTTGAAGTTGATGCAGAGGCTGAGGCTGAGGCTGGAACTGGAACTGGAGTTGGAGTTGGAGTTGGCGCTGGGATACAGGGGATATACAGACTCCGTGGATGGCACTCCGTTTACATTGGCCGGACCGAGCTGGGCGCCGTGTGTTTATAATTTATGCCAACCGGCTTGCTGTAGCGCCAGTTGACAGTAAGTCGGATGGGGGAAACCGAAAAGGAAACCCAGCTGGCGATGGCTCACACACAGTAAACACTGAAATGAGTCAACGCGTCGCTTCAGCTGGGGCCAAGGGTTCAGCTAGTTATAATGTAATAAAAGAGAGTATCGAAGGGCAGAGGGTCCGCACTCGCAGAGGAACCTACCCATCAATAATATGGCTAAGGAAAGGGGCACAGTTAATAAAGCAACCCTGTACAAAACTATTTTGGCTTCTCGACTAAATCTTGAGGGTAGGTCGTATAATCCTCTTTTCTAAGTAACTGAAGGAATCATTTTTTTATTGAAATAAAATATAAATCTACATATACTAAATAATCTGCAATAATAATCAAGCTCTTCAGTCATAAAAAGATAAATGTTTACTAAACTTCCATAAGTATCTTGACAAAAATTTACTTTTACAATAATATGAAAGCTCAGTGAAATAAATGCAATTAGCTGTTCTTACACAACACCGTTACAGCATTATATCCTATATATAACTAGAAATAGATACTTCAGATAATTGGAGAATAACATAAGAACGTGTTTTTTATATATATTGGGATATATCGATTATATCGACATTTATCGATTATTAAATCTGTCGCAATAGCATTTATTTTGCCTCACGAAGTATTAAAAGAAAAACAATATATATAAATAAGGTCGGAATAATTAACCAATAGATTAAAAGCCTTAAGAGAGGAAAAAATATAGGCACATTTTTTATCTATTAATTGAAATGAAAAGTTTTATTATATTGTTTTTTTTTTTTTTATTTTTATTTTTTTTATTTATAAATTAATGGATTAGTTTTTAATTTATAAGAAAATACAAAGACCTAGATTTCAACCAAAGTTAATATCCGAAATACTAATTTCTTAAATGAAAATGTTATAATTAAAATTAAGCGAAGACTAATTCTTTACTATCTTAAGTACTGAGCTGCAATTGCAGTCCTTTAGCAGACTTTAACTAATTGCACATCCAACTCTTTCGAGCAGGAGTCCCACACCCTTATTACCCTCAGCCCGAGCCGTACCGCCCGCAGCTCACTTATCACATTCGAGTTTATTGACTTTTGTATATGTATTTGGCTGATGTTTCTTTTTTCTCTTCGTCTTTTTTTTTTTTTTTTTTTTTTTTTTTTTCTTTTTTTTTTTTTTTTTTTTTTGTTTAGCCGCTGGCGGTGTAAGCGGCGCCAGATTTCGAGACGGTCACCAACTCCAGCGCCTGTCCAGTCCAGTCCAGTCCAGTCG